GCTCGGGAAGTAATATTGCAGTTATTATAGAGCATAATTATCCAGATTATGTATACTAAATTTGAAGCGAATCGAATAATATTAGTAAAAGTTATGAAACATTCATTGTAATGATCACAAAAGTATTTGAATGCTTAGATAACAAGTGGTCGAAAAATGTTTTCGTAGAGAAAACATGTGGAAAATCCAATTAATGAGTAATTTCATTAAAGTGCATATAATTAATACCGTTAAAATATTTTTATGACCCTGTTTCAATACATCTTTGCAATGAATGTTTTATATGTACTATAAATATTATACGATTCATTTCAAAGTTTGTACATATAATTTCGATAGTTATGCTTTATAGTGGTTGCATTACTTTCAAAATTTAAGTCTAACATGTACGATTTTATTATTTTAAGATTTAATACCGAGCGTTCGAATACTTTTATTAGTCATTATGTATGTATATATATGACTTCGGAAAATAAAAACGTTATTTATAAAAGACATAAAATAATTTCAAGTGAGATAAGTAATAACGCATAAGAAAATTCGATCTAATATTTTCTAAATACAGTCCAATTTTCGAATATTTGTTGGATGATAGGATTGACCATTATTAACAATTTTCAGGAACAATACACTTTGTTTATTTTCAATAAAAGAATTTATTTATAATATAAAAATTAAATTAAATCTAAAAAATTTTTCTCTTGATCGTTAAATCATAATTTATTAACGATTTATCAAAAAATGATGTCTTTTTCTGAATAGGGTGCATTAACATAGTATCTAAAAATTATATTTGCATTTATTATAAAATATTGACGTGGGATTTGTGAAAAAACAAATACAGATTACTCCCTGACTTTCCAATTAAATGGTTGGGATTTTTTCGAGGATTTTTTCGAAGTACACTCGGCTGCTTACGGAGATGAAAAGATTTTTATTCTTTGTCTTAATCATTTTTAATGACAAAAATCTATTATGATCTTTTTTTAAATGCAGAACAATAAACAGAACGATATGTCTCATGTATTTAGAGAAGATACAAAAAATCAGAAGTAAAGAAGCAGAACCTATCTGACCTGGTTGTTATGTAAGAAACACAAGAAACGAGTACAAAAGCAATCGGCAAGTGACAATGTAATAGAAAACGTAGATAATAATGTTAATGCCTAAGTTACTGATAGTTTCATATTACCCTACTTTTCGTACAGACGTGAATGATTTAATACAATAAGACAATGTAATAGCACGTTAATAACCTTCGTAATAATTTGATCTATAAAGTTGATCGAATGAATTGAGATTAGATGAGGGTGAAAAGATTAAGGGGACTGGTTACTCTAGAAGATTAAAAAAATTGTATTTTTTTTTTTTTTTTACATTTTCATTGACTTTGAAATTTTGTGAAGAATTTAAGCCAAGGTCAATAAATTCGAAAAATTGACGAAGTTATAGGTGTTCATAGCTTGAGCCACTGCAAGTAGTGTATCGCGCGGTACGATCCGTACATACTCGTCGTGTATGACTGTTCCATTGTGTCCTTTCGTATGCGTACAGTGAAGAAAAAGTGACAAAAAAGAATGCACTAATCACGTGCAGAAAAGAGTGGCCAAACGACTTTGCAACGCAAAAGAGCAAGCAAAATTATCGATGGAAGAAGAAAACTATCTGATAAGCTAATTAACTAGTTAAGAGCATACTACAGTTTTACTATTCGAAGGTCTTCTTATTCCAAAGACGAAATGAAGCCACGACATGAAAAGCCGCAAGATGAAAATTGTTCTTCTGGAGAAAACACGTGATCTTCTTGGCAAAAATCGAAAGCAATCGGCACTTTGGATGAATATGAGTACGAAAATTTTCTACCTTCAATCGTTCACGGTGCCATTTGACCAATTTTTAAGGATCTCATTTGGGATGAATTGTTGGTGCGGTGTGAAGGAGGTTTCATTAAAAATAATCAGAGCCTCTGTTGTTTGGTCGATGACTTCTAAAAGCAATTCATCAACGAAGGCCACAAAAACATCCTATAGATGATGAATTTGATGCATCTGCAAATCGGGCATCGCTACTATAAATTATGAATGTTGACAAGCAACGTTGCGAAACCGCTGAGATCCGAGTACAAGAAAATACGAAAGACGCTCACCAAGCTCGAAGATCATCCGAGAGAAAATTTGAAGATACCCTATCTGCTGCTGAAGGAACATCATATGGACCAGGAATCTCTGAGTAAATATGAGCAAAAAAAAAATCACTGTATCAACCAAATAACCGGGCACATTTTCTTTTGCGTTTTTCTCGAATCTACATTTTTCGATATAACCGAAAAGAAATTTCGAAAACTACAGGACTAATCGACTTGAAATTTGGACACAATACTCCCAGATACATTATCTATAAAGTAACGTATGATTTTTGCGATATGTTAATTAGTTTTTTTAATATTAATTTTTTTGTTGTCAAATATTCGTGCAAAAACAATATTTCATTTACTTATTACCCATTTCTCAAGACAGGAAAAAATCTGTATGCTAATTTATACCCATAATATTCACGAATAAGAAAATAATTTTTTTTCTTCAAATGCGCCATTACGGAGATCCACTTCCGGTCAGCAACGAGCGTTCCAGCGTAAGATTTCTACGGCATCAGCTGCAATGCCGCTATTTTTAAATACTTTAAAATAATTTTTGTATGACAAATTGTTTAAGCTACAAATCACCATGTAGCAAAAAATAATAAATGTTCGTTTGATACTTTTGAGTTTGATTTTTAAAAATAAACCCATTTTTCGAGCGCTCTGGATGGCCTGACCCATTAATATAAGCTAGTTGTCAAGCGAGAAACAGTATGCTGATATTTATACAAAATAAAAATCAAAGAAAAATTTATTATAGTGCTTGAATATGTATATATAAAAAAGAAATATATAAAAAGGAAATAATTAAATAGGGAAGTATTGATTATCACCTTGTATATAGTGACGTTTGTGACATCAGTCTAATGAGAGTTAATTAAACTTTGTTCTTTCTTTGAGAATAAAATAAATACTCAAATGGTCGTTTCAAAACATACAATTATTTTCTAGTACAAAAATATCTTATTTTGAGAACAAAAAAAATACTCATTAATTCCATCAATCTCCATTATTTTCAGTATTTTTTTTTTTTCATTCATTTAATTGAAATTACCATACATACAATCTCTTATCTCTACAAAGAGCTATAAAAAAAAGAAATTACAGTAAAAAAATAATAAAATGTTTACTCGTGACCGATTAACTGAACAATGAATAACTCAAAGTGATGCTTATGGCAAATTGGGCGTCTATATGAGGGACATTCAATCTTAGTTTTCCCGTCTTTCGAACGTGGACAAATCATAAGGGTGTTGCTTTTCATATACTATAATTCGAGAGAATTCATTTGCCCAATACCAAGTTCGAGTATGCTCTTAATTCCTAATTTAAAATCAAATCAAAGAAATAGCATATAGAAACGCTCTAATATAAAGTTCTATCAGACAAGATTGAGAATTTGAACATATTAATATTTCTATTTATTATAGAATTTTGACATTTCTATCAGCATTTTTACTTTTCAGTAATATTCTGGCATTTATAGCAACTGTATCCAACATCCCGATGAAAATTCTTATAGGCCAACGATTAATGTTACTATTAACAGTGACTGAATGACTTAACTGATCAAAAGATTCGATTTCTCCTTTATTTTCATCATATCATTCATTAATGTATAATAACTTGTTTTTCCTTCTCATTGATTGCGTTTGATTCTGAAATATAACGAGACATAAGGTTAGAAAATAACTTCTACCATACTTATATATATAGGATCACGCATGACGGTAAAAAGCATGAATGGACTAAAAATCTTTAATAATAGAAAATCAAAAATTAACGCAAAACAAATTTACTGTACTCAGGAGGAATAGTACACCCAAGATTTTGCGAACTTCAATATTACTCCACCAAAATACAGCGACTGTCACAATGCGCACTGTTCTGGCAATATAAAGATACATATCTCATCTACTGACAAATGGCGGCGCTAGTCCTATTTACAAACATTTATTTGTTTTAAATTGTGTTTATAGTTGGTCTGTGATGTCCTGCACCCCAAACAGGTACAACAAAAAGGATAAAAAAAACGAGTAAAACTGCCAAAAAAGAAATAAAAATTAGCTATTGAAAAACGAATTCGAAATTTCAAGAGGACTCAGTTCTCGGAGCTGGAATTTTATATCAATTGTAAATATATTAAATATACTTAATAAAAATTTACCATAGAAGCTTACATTTCAAGTTTTAACAATATATTTCTCAAATCTAATCGCAAAAATTACAAAAAGAAAAATTACTGAATCAATTGATTTAAAACCAATGTACGTTTAAAGAATATTGAACATTTATTAATTTGTTGAAATAATTAAATTACATTTTTTTATCTCAAAGATTTGTTATTTGGAAAGTCAGCAAACTATTGAAATAATTGATATTTGATTTTCCAGAGAACAATAGAATATTTTAAATCCACGTCTCGTACATTTATTATTTTGTGCATTTTGTACAACGTACATTTCAATAGCAACATTCGAACAGATTGAGAATTCGTTTGAAATTTATATCATTTTCTTTTTTTTTTTTCAATTTGCGACCAGCGACAGATGGTCGCCATCAAGAGGGGTAGAAGAGTATCAGAATCTTAAAACTTCCATACCAGAGTTTATTGACAAAAAAACCAAAACATCTTAAAGAATGACATTTATACACTAAAAACTCGTTCGGTAAAATATATCCAAGCAAGTGAAGCCTATTTAAATTAAATAAACATTAAAAAAAAATATAATGTTTTTAATATTCATTAAAAATCCGTCACTTCATAAAGACCAAACTATTATATTCGAATAAGGATGAATTAATTTAATTTGTTCTAAAATCATTATTTTATTCAATCATGAACGATATCATTTAACGCTACCTTAGATTATTAGCAATGCCCAGGCACTAGGAATTAATCCATTAATCGTCAGATCTCCGGGAACAAGTTCACTTTCATCGATACATCGCAATGATGAATTCGCATTATTCCCATTAAAACATTTGCTGTAATTCCTATAGGTCCGTACATATTATCTACCCATCCTTGAATAGGTTCTCGATACGTGGATATCACTGGATATCAGGAATATTAAATTGATTAACATACACCATTTATTGTTTTATTTTATAATTTATTACATATATTACATTACTACCAATTAATTCCAGGACAAAATATTCCAATCGGTATAGAGTCAGCATGCTTTTTTACCACATTCTCAGCAAGTGATTTCGTATACACATAACAATTTGGCCATCTTCCAAGTAAAGTAAAATAAAAAAATTGTACGAGTGTATTATCAATCAACGTGCACCACCTATTTCTTTAATATCTTCGTTATAAAAAAATATGAAACGTACTGCGGTGTAATATCGTTAAGTAATTTGTCAACATCTATCGGTGGATCATAAATCTTTTCCTCGATTTGATTGTAAAGGCAGTTGGCATAAGCCGTGGATACGTGGACGAAACTCTGACATATTAAAAATAACAAACATTTATTATAATCAGAGCTTTCATTAAAAGATCTTGATAGTTATCAGTAAGTATCTATAGGATAAAGATGATACCTTCAAATTCGGCATTTCTTTGGACAAATTTATCAAATCCCTTAGACTTCGGACGTTAATAGCTACCGCCGCTTTCATTGCTTCATCGAATCTCACGGTCGCGGCGACATTGAAAACAATTGATACTTCGCGTATGAGTGTAGCTCTATCAATTTTGGAAATACCGAGATTTGGCAAGCTATAATCTCCCTTGATCGCGACTATTCGTTTTCGGAAATTTGGTTCTACCTTCCTCAACTTGGAAAATAACTAGAAAACGCACAGAGTTGTAAATTTTGTCTACTTCGTTTAAATAAATGTCATAAAAAAATAAATAGCATTCGAAGACTTTGTACATGTTCAAAGTACACTAAACCAATAATTTATTTATTAATTTCTTGTTTCTTATATCTAGCAAGTATATACAAGGTATTCAATTTATCTCAAATAATTAAAACTTGAGAGACTGAAGAAAGCAAAAAAATTTTTGAAGAGATTTGTTTGATATGATCGGAAACATTAGATGATGCCAAATTTATTTATTGTAATTCGAACGATATGGAAAATTCTAGTGTTAAGTTCATTTTTTTAATAGAAATATATATTCTTTTTTCACGGTGAAATGATTTTTTGAGACGAATTCGACGACTTTCTATATGAAGTCATTTATTATTATAAAATACTACAAATTACATTATAAATTCGTAAGATCTTAAATAGTAAGGAATACAAACATATATCACTAGTTCCTGACTGTTATACTCCATACAATTCAACATGAACATGATTTAAAAAAATGAATTTGACTTTGAAATTCTCCTAACGTTTAACACACTTAAAAAGAAATTGAAACATGATGTATCCCTTCACATTAAACAAATCCATAGAAAAACTTTCTTTTTTAAGTTCGACCTCTCATAAGATATTCTCATTTTTCAAAATAAATAAGACACGCTGTATACATTATTTAATAAATACAGAATCTCATAGATAAAGAATCAAAGAAAATATAGAAATAATAAACAACTAACCGAATCTTCCATAAATTCATCCAAGCGTTCAAGAACATTTTTCCCTTTTTTCGAACGTATCAAAATATAAATGCATCTGATGCCAGGACATCCTCTTAACAATTTCTCGATTAATAATTTTCCCATGAATCAAGTTCCGCCAGTTAAAAATACACTTTCATCGTCGTAAAACTTTTGAATAGGTGTAAGATTGTCGATTATTTCGACGGACGATTCTATAGTTGATGTTCCAACTGTTGAATCAAGGGCCACTTCTTGATCATACTCTTCTAACAGCGGTTTCATCATTTCTACTCTTCCAAATTGATCTATAAAAGTAAGCGCGAATTAGAAATTTTTTTAAATTCTATATCATAATTTTCTCTTTCGGACGAGTTTTTTTAATCTTCTTCTGAAAAGAAAACTGATAATTTTATAATCTTAACGTCAGAGTATATATGCTAACGCGACGAAGCTGAAATGTCTTCTGAAAAAATTATAAATTGTACTCTCGATTATTATTGACGCATTTTTTTATTCTAACGCATTTTATTCTAACTGCGTCTTTTTTTTTATCTTCATATTCATCTGACGATCACTTTCAATTATAAAATATATATTCATGGTAAGCACGTTTGTGTATATATACCTACATACTACTATTCTGAGATGCGAACGTACAAAAAGTAATAATGCGAAATAAAGAATGTTAAATACGGTTGACAAAATATTCTCGAAAAAATCTACTTTTTAATTGATTATTACAATATATTTTCTTCTATAATCTGTTACGATTATGATCAAAGAAACAATTTTTCGTGGGAAGAATTTCATCTTTTTGGCTTGTCTTGAAATTATTCGAAAAAAATCAATTAACACAATGCGTTATGAGGGCAGTGAGGAGTCGATTGTGACATTGGTTCGTCGAAATTTATCCACAATAAGTATGTAGCCAATATAAAATACATATCTATATCTGTAATAAATAGGTATCTTATTTTCAGCCTACCGTTTTGAGACATTGTTCGACAAAAAAAAAAAAACAACCGCTAAGGTTATGCATTCATTATCTTTTTTTTTTAAATCTTACGCCGAATTTTACGATAGTTTTCTCTCTATTCTTGATTTATCATTACACAATTCAATTAAGAAATATAACGTTTAGATAACAATCAGGGTTCGATAAATTCCAAATCGATGTAATTAAACAGTCGAACTGTCGATTTAATAGAGAAATAAAAAAAAAAAGCAATAGTGGCATATAATGGGAAAAAAGAAAAGTTTATGTAACTCATTTAATTGAGAAAACTATCTTTCTACAATAATGTCGTTTATATATTATAATATACAATATTGAATACATAATCTTGAATAGAACATAATATTGAATATTCGTTTCGAAAATGCGATTCTATGCTTGTTTTTTATACTGTATTCCCTGTCAAATGTTAAATATATAGTTTATATTTGTATTATATTTAATGCTACTTGCAAATTAATATAATAAAATTATATGATATAATATTTTATAATAATGTATAATTTCAGAAAAGAAATGTTCATAAAAGTATAATATGTTATGAAATAATATAATAAAAAAGATACGAAACATATAAACGAAGTATCGTGATTGTTTCTCTCACACTGACTATTATTTTCGCGTAATATCACGCATAATTGTAAATATAATCTTTAATAATTAAAATATTTTTCTTTTTTCATAAATACACAAATTTTACTCTCTTTCACACATATTTTCCAATTATGGATTGAAATGGCGTATGTGCTTAAAAAAAAATTATTAACGTAATTAATAACTTTATCACTAATGTACTTTCCTTCCGCACTCACTATAAGAGTATATATTCAAACAGAGTTCACTTTCACACTAAACTATAAAATCAGATAGAAGCAGCTTAATATTATTCCCCTTTACTATTTATTCAGCATATCCAACACGATCTGAAGGTGTAACAATTCTAAAGGTCAAAACTTCATTTTTAAGTTTTTGCTCGAATTATTGAAATCTAAAATAACTGTAAACAAAAAATGCAAATCAATTTATCATGATGAAAATGATAAGGAATATTCGAAATCAAAACTCGCCAATAATAACCTCAATATACTTATGTATTTATTGACCTGACGCATAATTATTGCATTATTAATTTCATGCTAATTTTCATTGCTTTCCAATAAATATCGAAGAACAAATTATCTAACAGTAATATATTGTTTTCAAAAAATATTTGCTTTTATGTGATTTACGATTTAAATTTATGCAGGAAATATTTTTATATAAGTACATAAAAATATTTAATTACTTTATACAAGTTTTTAAAATTATAGCGGGATATCTTTTTATAAGTAATAAATAAGTTAATTAATAAGAAAAAAAATATCCGACCAAATTTTTATGAATAAAAATATCCAAATAATTATAATTTCTGGCTTCCTTCCGTGCCATCCGAAAAGAAGGCTAAAGTTATAATTTTTCATAAAATTTACATTTTAGAATCCCTTAAATATGAGAACTCATTGATCCGCATTTTGACAAGAACGTGAATTAAAATTATTCTTTCCTCTTCATCTTCATTGACAATCTTGTTTCTTTTACGAAAAATCTGAACATTACGATAAGATGTGAAATCATGTAATTATAAAGAAGATACAGGCAATAACGAATTTCAATATTTGATGCTTCCATTAAAGCATTGAAAATTCGAAAAATAAATATTATTAGAAAGCGATAGTGAACGTAAAATGCAAGAAAGAAGTTATCTCTGTTGTTTTACACAAACATGTAGATGCATTTCAATGAAATTCTTTAAGAGTTTGAAAATAAATATCCTTCAAAAATAAAGTCCTTCATAAAAGGAAAAAGAAGTATTTACGATCTTTGGATGCTAATTTATGCGATATATCAACCACTAATGACTAGCGGTTTGAACATCAGAACTCCGGACATTAAGTTCACTTTTACCAATCCATCCTGATGATTAGTTTCTATTAATCCCATTCCAGCACCTGCTGTAATTCCTATTGGCCCGTATATATTATAAATCCATCCTTAAATAGATTCTTAATATATGAATGTTATTAAGAATATTATATTAATTTTTTCGCTATCATGGGTGACTATAGTTAATCACTATAAAATTTTCCTAATACATTATGATCGACTAAAGTGGTTTACGTTCAAAATCCTTCATATATACCAGAGACGACTAAAGTCACGAATAATTAAGTTCACGAAAATCAGTGAAAAAAATCAAATCAAGTAAAAGAAATTTAGATAGCCTATATATATAATTTTATAATATATATAATTATATAATACTAAATGGTAATAACTATATATATATATATATAAAGTATACTTTCTTCAGGTAGATTTGCCGCGCTTCTCATAGCCCGCCCTTGCATTGTCTTCTGTTATTTACAAATTCTTTTGTTACCTACAAATCGAGCCGTTAAGATTTGGAAGAGAAACGTGCAGTAGGAAATAGAACTTAGAAGAGAGAAGTAGTATAAGAGTTTACAAAAAAATTTATAAAAGATAATATATTAAATAAAATTTAAGTAGTGTGAATAATAAACGTAAATTATCGTTTCTTTGTTCACAGGTAAGACTGTAAATAACAAATAAGTATTATTTAACAAATAAAGATTTATTCCTTTGTTCACAGAGAAACATATTTTCGTTTATCACCTCACATAATCAATTCGAGATATTATAAAACGACAATTTTTGGTTTATAATCGAAAAAAAACTACAATTCGCATTTAAATGTGTGGCATCACCAAGCGACAGAAAGACAAACGTGATTGCCATAACCTCTACCACAACTGAGGACAATGAAAAATATATGTTGCCAGAAAATGAAAAATTTGCAAGTAACCACAGCGAACTAATAAAAACAGAAAGTTATAAGAGAATAAAAAAAAGCTTCAATCAAAGAGGCCAAGAAAAAAAATATGGATTAAATGCACACAGGAAATGGACAGTACGTATTTGGATGAAAATGGCAATTTAATGTTTAATGATCTATACCTAGAAGAAATAGTAGAAACAAACATAGTAGAACCCGTACAGAAGAAAGAATAGATTAAAAGTAATACCAAATAGATTTAAAGTGTATATCGGAAAAATTCATGATTGAAAAATTTGGATGTAAACACTCAAATGTAGAACAATGGTTGGAGATATTTGAAAAAGATTGTCAAAGAATCGAAATTAAAGAAGATAAAACAAAAATTGAAATTCTAAGATTATTCCTTGACAGGGCATGTTTAGACTGACACTCAGCAACACTAACAGCGTTGACAATAGAGGCTGGTTGGAACGAATGGAAACAGAGATTCTTGAAATCATTTGCTGACAGGGGATGGAATACAAGTATATACGCTATATCTTACAGATATAAATAAGGTTCACTAATGCAATACGCTATGAGAAAAAAAACCTACTATATATACCAGAATTCATAAGAGATAAAATAGACAGCGAAAATTGTCAAAACTCAACAGAACTATTACAGGAGATAAAGCAATGTGAAAATCTAGTAAGTAAGAACAATTTAAAAAAAAAGAAAGAGGAAAGACAAGATAATAAGAAGAAATTTGAAGAAAAGAAACCATGTAAGAATTGTGAAAAACTAAACAAAGGCATTAGATATCATTCAGAGGACTCCTGTTGGTTTAAAAAGGAAAATAGAAAGGAAACCAGAATAAATTGAAGCAATTCAATGATAGAAGTGGACCTATGTAAGGAATAAAAAACCACACTTTTTGATCAAAGTGAAGTTAATATTAGAAGAGAAGTTAGAGGTAAACGGAACATATGACCCAGGTTCCCAAATCTCTCTAATAAATTCGAGACTAGTCAAAATCAAAAAAAAAAGAGACGAAAGATAAAAATAAAATATTTTTAAAGACGGTCGATGGTGTGACATAAACAAAAGGTTTAGTAACCATTAATGTAAAAATTTTCGATAAAGAGGAATAAGTTGATGTATTTATTTTAGAAAGAAATAACTTCGACGATTTCATTATTGGGTTAGATATGATAAAGAAATTTAAACTAATTCAAGATGAAAACTTACAGATATCTCAAAAGAAAGAAACACAAACAAAACAAAAATATAAATACATTGGATAGAAATGAAGAAATAAAAGAAGTTACAGTAAATTTTAACAAACATGTGAATGAAGACAAATTTAGATTGGATCTGAATCAGACCCTAGTAAACAAAATAAGATGCAGGATAAATGAGAAAGAAAAAAAAAGAGCTTGGACAACGATCGCTAAAGAATGTTTGGATAAATATAATGAAACAGAACATACAGTAACCGGCTTTACGCCTAAGTATTTGTTAGATGGCACAAACACTAGCATTTTACCCGAAGAAATAAAAAGAAGAAACAGTAAAGAAAATTGGATAAGAGATAAAGAACTAGCTCTAGAAAGAACAAAAAAATCACACAAATATAATAAAAAGATATTTAATAGGTTGAATAGAATAGGTTGAATAGAAATAAATTAGACGAATTGAGAATTGGTCCTTTCCAAATAGTAAAAAAAATATCAGAATCAATATACAAAATAAAAACAGGAAAACGAAAACAAGAAACTGGATTCTTCCACATAACAAAATTACTTCCAATATCAGAAGATGGAGACGAGGACTAAAAATTGTAGGAATTTTATCCTAGGGGGGGAGATTTAAAGAAAGTATATTTTCTTCAGGTAGATTTTGCCACGGTTCTCATGGCCCGCCCTTCCATTGTCTTTTGTTATCTACAAATTCTTTTGTTATCTACAAATCGAGCCGTTAAGATTCGGAAGAGAAGCGGGCAGTAAGAAATAGAACTTAGACGAGAGAAGGAGCACGAGAGTGTATAAAGAAATTCATAAAAGATAATATATTAAATAAAATTTAAGTAGTGTGAATAATAAACGTAAATTGGCGTTTCTTTGTTAACAGGTAAGACTATAAATAACAAATAAGTATTAATTAACAAATAAAGATTTATTCCTTTGTTCACAGAGAAACATATTTTCGTTTATAACCACACATAATCAATTCGATATATATATATATATATATATATATATATATATAATACATTATTATACAAACAATAACCTGTGTGTGCTGATCGCTTCTTTTGGAACACATGTGTTTTCCAGGATATATGTTTTCCACGAAATATATTCGCATATGAGGAAAAAAAGCAAGAGTGTCGAAGAAGATCAAAAATTGATCAGTGAAACGTGGTAGGAGAAAAAGGTTAAATACTTTTGGTCGTTTTTATATTTCAGTGCAAAAGTGAGCATCGTTCAATTAACACCTACTACTGTCCTAAGGAATAGAAAAAATCTCTACTACGAATGTTCATAACTTTACTGTAAGCCCGTTTATTTTAATTCTGCAATATGGAAAATAATTCTGAAAGTAAGTAAATTTTATAGAAGTATACACTTAAAAAGAATCAGAATCATAAGGTGTGTTATAAAAATTAAGTAACATTTTTTACGAAAATTCAAATAAATAATTACGTAAAAATTTTAAGAAGCATAAAAAGGTTTGTGAGTTACATGAAATTACGGAAAAATAAGAAATTAAGGTATTCGGTTAATATTACAATTCAACAAAATATAGAAGAATTAGTTAGCAACTACCATAATTAATACGATAAATAGAACGCGAAAATTTTTTTTTTAATTTTCGAAATATTCCTTAGTGTAAACTCGGAATGTGATCAGCTTTGATTATTCTTTTGTTAATGGACCGATCACAAATATTTTTATTTGACATAAACATTGTTGAGACGAAATATGTAATGTAATTATCTACAGTAAATTTCCTGACACTTTTTTGTCGGTTTTTATATGGTCCCCTTTAGTTTTACATAGACCAATATTTAACTTTTATTGCACTTATCTTTTATCAAATATTGAAAAGATTTCTCTAAGAATCGTAATAAATATTTTTTTCCTGTCTGAACGAAGTGAAGATTAAAAAATTTGTCTAGTTGAAAGAATTTCGTATCATTTTATTAACGAGGAATATCACACGTTGTTCTGTTTGCGTAGTACGGGAAAAATTATACGTAGAGAAAAATAGCATAGAAAAACAGCATAGAAAAATAGTATAGAATAATGATCGCATTCGAAGACTCAATTAATTTTTCTTCTATAACTTGTTTTATGATGTTCACTAATTACATATTATTATGAGGCAGGTTGAAAGATACATTTGCAATTGAAACGTTTTCCTTTACCTTATACTAGATAAAAAGCAATATCATGAAGCAATTAATATTAATACATGTACATGTTACGTGATATTTTTCCCTTTCGAATTATCGAGGACACCAATCATCGATCATTTTCTATCATAATGAAATTGTCTATTTTAAATTATAGATATATATTAGGACGAGTAATAGATGCCATGAATGCTTTTTAATAATCGATATTAAGATAGAAAGAGCAAACCCATCGGAATAAAGATTGTGTTAATCAAACGTTCGATTATAATATTTTCAACCGACACTTCAACTTACTTGCAATATCGTTTAAACGATTAAAATAAATAAATACGATAGAGAAACAGAGAAGATTTCTACATTTATGTTTATGTTTATGTTTATAGATCGATTTAGAAAAGCAAATATGATAGACGTACTGCCAGAAAGAGGTGAACAAGAAATAGCCCTATCGGAAAGTTCTTTGAGAGTTGCTACGAAAACTAAATATGCACGTGTATATATTCAACCCATCGAGAATAATGACGAACTTACACCCATTCAAAAATTTTACAGTGGTCAAAGTATTTTTATAACTGGTGGAACAGGATTCATTGGAAAGTTATTGATCGAGAAATTGTTAAGAGAATGTCCCGGTATCACTTGCATTTATCTTTTGATACGTACAAAAAAAGGAAAAAGTGTGCATCAACGCATGGAAGAATTAATCGAAAATTCTGTGAGTTATTACATCTATTACAGGGATTAGTAAATTATTATTTCACCTTTGACCCAACTTTGAAATTATCTCTTTTTATTAAATAATATAATAGATATATAAAATAAAGAAAATTGAGAGACAAAGTAGTGGTCTATCATAATCAGTGGAAAAAATCGCAAAACGTCGTTTTCCTGTTATTTATCATAACGAACGTGAGAGAGAAAATATTTACAACTCTATCATTTTTCCAGTTATTTTCCACTTTGAGAGAGAAACAACCAACATTCCAGAATCGTATAGTCCCAATCAAGGGCGATTGTACCTTGCAGAATCTCGATATCTCAATGGCCGATAGAGCTACGTGAGGTCTCAATTATTTTTCATGTCGCCGCAACCCTTAAGTTCAACGAGAGAATAAAATTGGCGACAGAAATCAACGTTCGAATTGTAAAGGATATAATAAATTTGTTCAAAGAAATGTCAAAAACTGAAGGTACCACCTTTGTCCTCTGTATACCTATTAATAACAATTAGAGTCTTTCAAAATCTGCCTGTAACAAATCTTTGTTATCCTTAACATTTCAGAGTGCTGTGCAGGTATCAGCGGTTTATTCCAATTGTTTTCATATTACACTTGAGGAGAAATTTTATGATCCACCGATAGATTCCGATAAGTTGATAAATTTGGTGAACAATATAAATGAAAAATTGCTCGACGATATTACCCCACAGTATGTTTATATCTCGGAGTATCGATTGCTTAGTTTATAATATATTTAGTTATAAAAAATATAAAATAAATAGATAGTGCACTTAATTACACTCAGACAATTGTTTGATTGTAGATTACTCGGAATATGGCCAAATACTTATGTTTATAAGAAAACAGCCGCAGAGAATTTTATAAAAAAGCATGCTGACTCTATACCGATTGGAATATTTTGTCCAGGAATTGGTTGGTAGTAATGTAATCCTTACAAAATAAAACAATAAATGGTGTATGATAATCAATTTAATATTGCTAGTGATATCCACTTATCGAGAACCTATTCAAGGATGGATCGACAACGTGTACGGATCATAAAAAATGTTTTTATGGGATTAATGCGAATTCACTACTGTGGTAAATCGAAAAATGCGGACATGGTACCTGGTGATTTGACCGCCAATGGAGTAATCGCTAGCGCATGGAAAATTGCAAATAATCGAAAGTAACGACAAATACTTCAAACAATATTTTTAGGTTCAAATTAAATAATGATATTAGATAATATTGAATTAATTCGTCTGTATGAATACATAGTCTTTTTAGATCCAATGAAGATATTCCCATTTACAATTACGTATCAAAGGACAATCCATTGACTTACGGCAGATTTATAGAAATGATAGTTTCGTATGGAGAATTGATATCATCTGAAAAGGCAATTTGGTGCCCCACCTTTAAAATAACAAAATATCGGTCGATTTATGTTTTCTACATATATTTTGTACATTTACTACCAGCTCTTATAATCGATACACTCTCTTTGTGCAGAGGTAAAAACCTAAGGTAAATTTCTCTTATCTTATTTTCTAAAGGGAGCATATTAGAACGATAAAGAAGCGAAAAATTTCATCTAGCGATGATCCTTTTCGTTCAAGGTTACTCAGAATGTATAATAAAATTCACGAAATGTCAGATCTACTTAATTATTTTTGTATAAACGAAAAAAAATTTACGAATGAAAGATGGAACGAATTGTTGAGGAAGTTGACGCCGGAAAATCGTGAATTATTCTTTTGTGGTATGAAGGTTCTCGTTTGGAATATTTATTTTGAAACATACTTCTCAGGTATAAGAAAATATATCTTAAAGGATCCTATTGAGACACTTCCACAAGCTCGTATAAAATGGCGAAGATATCTCTCTTATTGCATTTTTACTTCATTTTCCCTCTGTTATTGATAATCACTTTCAAATAATATTGATTTTTCAAATTTTCAAGGTTTTATTTGATGCATCAAGCATTGAAATTTCTTATCGCCTGTGTTCTATTTATCATCACATGTGCTGTGATTTCCTGGCTGCTTGTAACGTTTGGATCTCCGTAAAAGAAGCAAAAGAATGAAGAATAAAAATAATCATAATTTAGACTATCGCCTATGTACGAATCAATAATTTCTTGAATAAAATATATCAAAGTTAAACGGTTTTTATTCGTGAAATCAAGGACAGATATTTGGGTTAGAACAAGTTTCATTCCTAAACTTCACTGAAATCATGTATCACTTTTTCTGCGTTTTCTCTTTCTTACTAAAAATTAAAGTAAAATGAATAAGACAATAATTCAAAATCCGTTCGATAAATACATATTTCGGAATCATAACTGGTGAGATTTGTTCTTGAAATACATATTAATTTCGTATCATTTTTATTGGTAAATTTATTATTTTGGATTTTTTTGTGAAGTGCATTTATCATACTGATCCCGAATCCCATAAATTTAACCAAAACGTCGAAAATTAATTTCTAAATATAGTTTTTGATCGTTATGAGTTGCGTACACTGATAGTTTAAGCCTTTTATGGTTAAAGGGAAAGGCTACTTATTTCTACTAAACTTTATAGTTCAATGCAACAGTTGAATACATTCGATAACAACACCTGTACGTGACATAAGCATAAGGAAATAATGCTTGCTTCAAACATTTATAATTGCGATGAAAATTCGTCGATTTTATTTATGCAAAACGGGAAAAACTTCTGCAGTAAGTAAAATATACATTGAATTTAGTCCCATCCCATATTTCTCACATATTAACACATTTATGAACGGTGTTTTTCGATCGTAATGATCGTGATGATCGAGATGAGGATGCCTCATGTAATTTAAGAAAATCTATATGTAAGTATTGAAAGACAGAAATATGTAAAATGTATATCAATATAATAAAAATATTCTCTTCTGATATCATGTTTAAAATTAATTGTCGTTTAAAAAAGAACTGACACGATCAAAAGAAAACATTCTTATGCCAAATAAATAAGAGTATTTATAAATAAAAACAAATTGAAAGAAGTCGAAATGGATTTCTAACAGATATAAGGATAAATATTGGATTGAATTGATTTAAAAAAAATCCATGATTTTACTTTACCATTTAACAATTTTCTTTATCCTGGAGTTCATATTGATATCTAGTAGTTACATTTTTATAAAAAGATGTATGAACAAGATTAATAGAAAAATAGAGATCAAATAAAAACAAAAATTATTCTATAAAATGCGCGTTAAACAGGATCAACGAAAACGTGCATCAACAGAAATAGATTAAAAAATTGTTAGAATAATATGAAATCAATTAATGCGACATAGTTGCATTGCATTTTGATTCGAATATGTAAATGCAAAAATATAATAAAAATGAATGATGTAATATTTGAGATTATCAAGAATTCAGAAAAACACGAACAGAAATAAGGCGTTTCAAAGTTAATAAACGTAAATAATAAGATGCTATGGAGAATTTGAAAAGATAGTTAATTGTAGCACTATATCTTATACCTAAAAAGTATTTCATACCAAATCATTTTCCAAATAGTGTTTTATTTTTCACAAAATCTACCCTATTTCTGGTAATTCTTCTCCAGGTATGCTCTCGGCATCATTATCGAGCTTAGTATATCGTTCAGCGATTCTATTTTTAAACATGGCTGATACCATAGTGTCGATAAATAAGGAAGCAATATTTCGAGGTAACTTATGGTTTGATAGTCCAGTAAAAACTACAAACTCGAACGCCGCCATAATAAGCTTACACATTACTACCGCAAGATGTCGCCTAAGTTATTGTTTTGATTCTTCCACTCTTCCACTAACCAAAATAAAAATTTTTTAACAAATATGCACGTTCAACTTAATATAAGTTCTAGCTGTAATAAAAACCATTATTATCAATTAATTAATAAAGTTGATGGTGAAATATTATTAAAATTAGAATCATTAAACGCAGTTTTGAAATATTATATTAAAATGAAGAACAGATCAACACGTCATAAATGGAAAGATACATTTCAGGTTATATTATATTATTAATAATGTAATAATTTTTGAGAAAATTAAACGTTATTTAATAATATACCCTAATGTTATAATTTAAATCGTTCTTTTGAAAAAGTACATGACACAAGTATTTTCTTTGTGTAGCTTGCAAAAGGGAAGAAAACGACGAGGAAGTGGAAATGTATTTTTATGAAGCGACACATAAATGGAATCTCATGAAATTAACATATGATTATTGCAGTTCTAAAATATAAATGAGAAAAATTATTATACTTTCGTAATCGCTCGATAAGGAACAATTAATCATCGAACGTTCCTAAAATATATATAGTTAAAAATTAAAGAAGAGTAAGTATTACAATTTCTTTTTAGAAAAAATTGCAAGATAATAAACATTAACTTACTCGCATTTAAAAGTTAATGTCTGAAGATTTAATAGACTATATCGATATTATTTCTTTCTAAAACAGACATTATAACCTTATTCCAATAAAAAAATTAATTCTTAAATCAAAATTTTATTTATACCAATTAAAAAGAAATATTCAATTTCAGCTACAAATTATTCAGGAAAACTCGGAATTATCAGCAAATGAAAATAAGCTTATCTCTAAAAACAATGAAAAAGAAAACGAAGATGGTAATGACGATAATGAAAACGTGATGATAAAAATAATACTTTAGTTGACCAAGACAAAGAAGAAAGAATGGAATGGTATGAAATTAAATAATGAAAATATTGTATATATTTAGAAGATAAAGATGAAACGACAGATGCACATTTGTTTGACATACGAAGACATATTGAATTTTCGTATATTTATTCATATATTATTTTCATAATCTAGACCAAACTATAATTCGATAGATATGCAACATTGGAGAATTATGGTTATGCTAATCTGATTGCTACTTTCAAGATTTTAACTTGGATTGTAATCGAGCGATTACAAATAGATTTTCATTCATAAAATTCATAAAATTAGTGAATATATTTTTCAAAAATTTAATTTTCTTCGCATAGATTTCGAAATAAGTTAAAAGTCATATTGTTTACTCAGATAACGATTATTGATTATATAAAAAGAGTAATACTTTACCTCTTACTTCACTGATGAAATGATAAAGAAAAACTGTAGCTATAGAAATAATTGAGGCACTTAATTTGTTCTCAGTGGTATCATTCCATTTAATATTAATTAGGATCTCTATTCTAAGTATACAAATTTATTATGTTCAGAGAAATACAATATTCAAATGGGCCACTGATATAATGGGTACTATATAAATGCGAAGATTAAATGAAATACTTTTTAATGTAAAGTCTCTTCTGATACAAGAAACGTCCACGATTATAGAATCATCTACTTTTGAAAAAACTGACAAAGGAGGTAACTTCTGTGACAAAGAAATAAATGCGTAAGGAAGAAAATAGCAAATTCTATAGTAAAAGACAACAAAACTACAACAAGAGATATATAAGCTGCATGTAAAGTGTCATAATTAGTTCTACAAAGTATGTCATCCATATATATGGTTCTTTTTATTTGTAATACGATTACCAACATTTATATTTCCTTATACATATAATAAATTTATAATTGTAGTTTGTGGGAGAATTGAAATTACCAATAGAGAAAGAAACCTAAAATTATGCAACAAAGGAAAAAAGTAAAAAAGAAGAAAAACGTGAGTAGTGAAATGTCTATAAGAAAGAGAGTGTCAAACGAAAGATCGACTTTGAAATTCTCTAATTATGCGTTTTATATATATATACATATATCATTACTTTTTAATTTAATGGTATAGCACTGTCGGTATTAAAAGTAATAATATCACTCATTAAAAGACTTTAAAAAATTAATATACTTAAAACTATTAAATACAATTTTATATAATAATATTTCTGTTGTAGGCTTAGTAAACATTTTCAGTTATATGCACCTGCATCTCTGCTGACACGCTTTTCCAAATTACAGTAAATACATGGTACTGATGTGATATTGCCGCATCGTGATATATCTCACACTTTTCCTCTGTGTTTCTACCATGCAATTGCTTCTTTTAAAGGAATAGTGTTTTATCGCTAAGGAAGAAGAAGAAGGAAAAAGCAGTCAGTTTTAATTCAGTAGTCAAAAATCTTAATTAGAGAATGTCTGAAATGAATCTTTCCAATCGGTTCATAACCCTGTAAATCTATTAATATATACATATTTGTGTCATATTTAATCAATTTTTACTCCTTAAATTATATTAATTTCTAACGATTGATCTATATTATTTCTTATAAATATGTAGGAAGAGAAATAAACTATGAGAATGTTTGGATTGTCAGAAAACAAGTGTAAATAATTTTTTATTTCAGACCTACAGGTAATTTCTTAATAAGCCCCTTTCTTCGCCGTCTTTTTCGATTATAGAATAGAAAGCCTTTGGTTGGATCTTTTCGAAATTGGGCAAGAGTGTAAATTAGTCAAAGCAAAGTTTTCGATTTGTTCGAGACGCGAATTTTTCTATCCATATTGTGTGGATGAATCTTCGTATCTAACTGAAACAGGGCTTTTTAGCGAGTAAACTTTATTCTTTTGCAATTATTTCCTTCTCCTTTTCGTGTTTTTTTATTTCTATAAATGGATTCTTAAATGCATTAAATAAAAACTGTTTAATAACTTATAAAATTAACTTAATGATTGTTAGCTCTATGTTAAATAGAAAACATTTTGTAATTTCTAGCTGCTGCAATAGAAATTATTTCAAATTTCTTAGATAGAATATTTTATTAGAAATGATAGATAATTCGCACATATTTTAATTTTTATTTAAGTTAATTAATTTATTTAATTTTACTGTTAAATTTGATTTCGTATAAAAATGAAACTTTATAATTCAATTAATTGATATAAATGTAATTTATATAAAATCTTAATAATAATATATATTTTGACTCGAATTAGTTTTATAAAAGAAAAATTTAATGTAATTTAATATTAATTAAATATCAAAAATAGCATACATAAATTAAAATTTTGTTAATTTCATCTTATCGTGGATTATTACTTATTATACCGATTCCCCTAACAAGAAAGAGCACCTCCAAATTTTTTAAATTTAATAATTTATCATTTAATTTCATATTATAATAGAGTATATAATCCTAATTTCAATATCGTGTAGGGAGAAGCCTACTTTCAGGGGCAATGTGTAATATTTGTACTGGGTTTATGTAGAAAAATATCTCAATATTATTTCTATTAATATTATTACAATATAGGAATCATAATCTATATTTAAAAAACAATAAATATTTCGGATACGAAGCAATAATTAAGATTTTGTGACGATAAAATGAAAAAATTTTTATATATACATATTAAATATATAAAAGGGTTAAACTTTGAAAATCTCGTACTTAATATTTTCAAACCTACGTCATTATATTGAATTACATTCTATTAATTGTAAATAACAATCTAAATAGTTACTGAAGAATTGTTAATGTTGTCGAATGTCAATAATCTTTTAACATTAATACTGAACGGTTTGCAAAATTATCACATATGCAGTTGTAACATTTCAGTTTTACATGTTAAAAAAGCTTAACAATTGATCATTTAAAACAATATATTATTTGTGTTTTCAAACGTAATTAACATAAACTTCAATCTAATCGTTTCATAGTATTGCAATTCATTCACAAAAAAAATATAAATTTATAACAAATAATATTGAATAACCGGAATAATAAAAATACATATATCATAAAATTCATTCATTTATAAAAATAACAAGCTGCAATAATATATTTACATCAAGGTAAGAAAATTAAAAAAGGAAAAAAAAAGTTGTATCGCCGTTCGATTGAAAAAAATCTCACTTTTGCAATGACTAAACTCAATTTCCTTTCTTTTTGTAAATTTTTAATTGGAATGTTAGCAAACTGTAGAAAAATTCTAATAAAATCAATATTGAATCATCTATGGAGCGTTTGATTTTTTTCGATTTAAATTTCGCCGATCTTTTATTTTAGTGATTTTAATAGTGGCTAGTAACTCTGACAGATTAAGAATCCGTTTGAAATATTTTTTTTAGTATCAATCTAAAATCTATAATTTCAGTTGCTCTCGATAAGTATTAGATCACCAAAAAGTCTACTAGTTTAAAAATAGGCATAAATTTTCAGAATTCTGATTGCATCTTTAACAGCATGGAAAATAAGTGGAAAGCGGACATTGTTAAATTTATAAATTTTTCCGTACGTATATGCGTCTTTTTTTCCGTATTACATGATTTTTAAACTCATGATTATTCATTTTCCATTTCTAATTTATAAAAATAAATTACAAGTAAAAACTTATACGCAGTTTCTATTGTGTCTTAAAGGTAATTATAAACATCGACGTGTTTCTAAATCAATTCTCTCGCCAGCGAATGAGGGTTGTATCCTAACGCATTAGAAATCAGGACATTTTTCATTAAATATTTTTATCCTGTGAAATTATTCCATATTATGTTCAGATTATAAGTAATGAGAGATACAGAAAATCGCCATCTTATAAATCGAGAACAATTACGGTAGAATCAATGAGAAAAAAGGAAGTGTAATTCAAGAAATCTGATACAGTGCCTGAAATAACTTTAATGCATGTATCCAATAATAAACGCTGAGGAAAACAGTATATATTTATTTGGTTTATGATAAGAAAATTAATAAATATTATCATACTCAATTGCTTAAATATTTTTGTTTTCAAATATGCCTACGTTCTTTTACATAATCAAAGTCTGATTTATTTATTCATAAAAAATGCATTTCTATTAGGCAGTTTTTATGATTCGAGTTCGATAGCTTAATCTTATGTCATGATTGTGAGCAAAAAATTGGATACGCAATGACGCAACTTTTATTTGTAGATTTTGTAGAGAACCATAAATGTAAAAATAAATATTTTATCGAATAGCATGTAAATGAACATTACAATTAAAATATTAAACTTCTATTGATAATTTGTTCGTTCAATTTCGTTTAATTTGATTTAATTTTGTTATAAAACATATACAAAATTTGTAATTATTATTTGATACAACGTAAAATTATTACATAAAACAAATCTGTAAATAGGTTATTTAGTTTTACGTGAGTTAATACCGTAAATTCATTATATTCGTTTTCAAGAAATATATTTAATCAGTTTAAGTAATTCTTTCTAAATTTAATATTTCCAGTAATATTTTGTTCTCAATTATATTTGATACTTCTTGTTTAAATTTTAAACAAAAAATTATTGTAAAAATTATATCAAGAAACAATATTTCCAATATTCATACATATTGAAATAACAGAACTTTGAGGTATTCAAGTATAGTCTTTTGGAAATTAGACGTAGTATCCAACTATTCGTCTCGCTTTACACATTTAGGCATGAATGTTTTAATATACGAGAAGCTGTGTATCCGACTTTGGAACACTTTTCCTAAACCATTCTTTTGATTATTCTTCGTAAATTTGAAAATGTATTTCACTGAAATTTTTTACAACACTTCCATCAAGGCGAATTATTAGATAACTAAATAGAGAATATGTATTCAATATTAATTTTAATGTTACCATTAACAAAAAGATAGACAGATAAAAACCCATTGAAGATTTCAAAATTGAAACTTGACAAATTTCATATGATCTAATACGTTGAGCACGATATATACCCGATGAATAAATGGAGTTTTAATGCGAGAATACAAAAAAAACAATTATCATAGTTTAATATGCAAAACAAATACGGATCTATTTCGCGTATATTATTTTTTTATTTATCATTACGTCATTATATTTTCATTCTACCTTGTTTTATTATTACCATATGTTAGTCTGAACGATCATATATACTTAACTGAAAAGAAATGCAACCAGATATTGGATGAATTTTTTTTACAACGTTTTGTCGATGAGGTTATTCAATGCAAATGAAATGATACCAATAAAAACACTAGCGTACAAATAATAGGAAAGATTTATAAACGCTGAACCGTTATGTTTAAATTCTAGGCAGAAATTATCTTTCTACAATGTATATATATATATATATATATATATATATATATATATATATATATATATATGTATGTATATATGTACATACACACTAATTAGAAGTTTAACATTTACCAATTTAAATAATATTGATAAAAAGTCGACTTAAATAATTGAATAAAATTGTCTCAAAAATATTTACAATAAATAGTATATATTAATTATTGTAATATTCCTAGAGATATTCATGTTTCAAATACTTATTAAAGATTGATAACAAAAATATGAACATATGAACAGGAAGGAATTACATTTGCTACTCTAAAAAAATAATAATCATGATTTCCTCTATCTACGAATCAATGTTTTCTCTTATTCAAGGTATCTAAATCGAAACATGGTGTGAAAGAGGAATTAAAATACGATTCTGGAGAACTTTATTCGTAAAATCTCTGACAAATATGGATATATTGTTTGTTATTAGATATAGAAAATATACTTATATTACCATTACTGTTTTTGTTATTGAGTACGAATGATTCATTGCAAGTTTAAGTTCATAAACCTTAAAAATGTATATTTTTCGAAGCAAATTTATCGCTATTATATGATTTGTTCTTCGATAGTTATTGCAAAGCAATTTGAAAGGTATGATACAATAATTCACCGTTGTAACGACACATACATACATTGAAGTCATAAACAACTAGTTTCGCAGATAAAGTACTTATCATAAATTCCGTATCTTTTTTCTGATAAATTCGTTTTACATTTATCTGTTATGTGGGTTATTCGGAAAGTAATTTCGTTTTTTCCCGACAAAGGATTTAATTGTATTTTTTTGCACCCTACTTAAGCCGTATAATCATTAAAAATTAGAAAGCTGATATGGCAAGGCTTGTGTGTGAAAAAGTCCAATTAATTCTACGCAGTAGTTTTTGGTTGGTGCCCTTTTAAATATGGAGAGCAATAAGCAGTATTTTCGTCATATTTCACTTTTTTACTATAGAAAAGTTAAAAATGCTGTTCAAGCCAGAAAGAAATTAACCGATGTGTATGGAGAAGATGTGTCGACAGTACGCCAGTGCCAGAACTGGTTTGCAAAATTTCGATGTCGTCAATTTTGATGTCGAAGATGCACTACGTTCTGGAAGGTCGGTTGAAGCAGATAAAGACACGATAAAGGCATTAGTTGATGCAAACCAGCGAATAACAACACGTGAGATTGGTAAGAAATTAAATTTATCAAATTCAACTGTTTATGATCACTTGAAAGACCTGAGTTTAACCTCGAAGCTCGATATATGGGTTCCCCATGTTCTCACGAAGAGAAATTTGTGTCGTCGTGTTAACGTCTGTGATTCGCTTCTAAAACGTCACGAAAATAATAACAATTTTTGAAGCGCATCATTACTGGAAACGAAAAATGGGTTGTATATAACAATGTCAAACGCAAGAGATCATGGAGCAAAAAAGATGAACCGGGTCAAAGCATTTCCAAAGCCAATATCCATTAAAAAAAAGGTGATGCTGTCTGTTTGGTGGGATTTTAAAGGAATCATCTTTTTTGTGATTTTAACGGATAACACAACAATTAATTCGGAAGTCTACTGTCATCAGCTGGACAAACTGAATGATGTACTTCAACAGAAAAGGTTAGAATTAATCAAAAGAAAAGTTGTAGTGTTTCACCAAGATAATGTGAGACCTCATACAAGTTTGGTCACTCACCAAAACCTTTTACAGCTTGAATGGGGTACAATGCCACATCCACCATATTCTCCAGATCTGGTACCTTCGGATTATTATTTGTCCCGATCACTGCAAAATTTTTTAGACGATAAAACCTTCACTTCGAATGAGGAAATCAATAATCACCTCGATCAGCTTTTTACCAGCAAAGACCAATAATGTTATGTGCGTGGAATCATACTATTATCAGAAAGATGGCAAAAGATATTGGATCAGAATGACCAATATATAATTTAATAAAATATTTGTTCATTATACGAAAATTGTCTTTTATTTTCACAAAAAAAAAACGAAATTACTTTCCGAACAACCCATTAGTAGATAATACAATTAATATAACGTTGATAGTGTCATGTCTTCGTGCATTAGTCAACGAGAAACTATAAAGGACACCTAAAAGAAGAGAAACCCTTATAGGCACGAATACGTGTGCATATGGAGCGATATCATTTTTTCAATTGTTTCTCCTCTATCTTTCCCATAAGAATAATCATCGACAGCTAGCCATAGTTGAAATGTAATTTAGAACTATCTATAAGACACGTAGTAAAGAAATACGAGAAGACAAAGAAGGACAAAAAGTACGTGCAGGAATGCAGATGCGTCATACCTCTTTCACCCTTGACAGCGGAGCGCTCCCAAGAGCCACGCGTGCAGAGATAAAGCTGACCAAGGAAGTATTAGGTGTCCCAAAAGTTTCTTATTATCCGTCTATGTCATCGGTTTCAGTCGTCCCAAAACTATTTTACAGTACGTTTCGTTTGCGCCACAGTCTCTTTTCAAACTTTCATCCACAGTGTTAAACATGGATAGAGAGAGGCGACATTTACGTCATCTTATGTTTCATTGTTTCAAAAAAGGTGATAGTATAAAGAATACTGTCGACGAGATTTGTATCATATACGGAGATGGTGCTATAATTATTACAACCGTTCAATTTTAACAAAACGTTCAATTTTAATCTATTTGAAAGACGATTCCGCTTCGTCGCGTAACCTAACGTTTGGTTAAACAATTGTTAATTTCATCTCATTTTCAGGAATGAATGAAAAAAACAGTTTACAGTTACGCTTATGTTTACAAATCGATTTGGAAAAAGTAGAATTGATAGAAGCTCTTAGGAGGAGGTGGAACAAAAGTAGTTGTTGGGGAAAGTACTTTGACAGGTGGTATGACGACGAAATATACGCCTGCAAAAATGCAATCATCCAAGGCAACTGTCTTTAGGCTTACCCCACATTCAAAAGTTCTACGACGGTCAAAGTATATTTTTAACCAGTAGAACAGGAATATTATAAATTGTTTTCCATGCACAAGTCTTGGAATTTGTGGGTTTCATGACCTAATGAATAATTTAAATCGTGAAATATTTTATTAACACATAATGGACCAATGCCGCCATATGAAAGGCCTTGTACTTTACTTACTGGATCCAATCCCGCGCATATGGTGGCAAGAACGGATTTATTATTTTTATTGCTGTGATTGTTGTTATATGTACTAGTAATGCGTTCAATATCGTGCCATGTCATTTTTGTGAATTATCTATGTTCCGTTATCTTTTATCTTCTCCTGAAATACTTCCGGACCGTTAAGGGTTAATTATTAAACTATAAAACAAAGAACAAGCAGAAAGTTTTTTTTTTATTGAATTTAACCTCTATATTGCAAACAAAGCACCTAATTTCTTAATTGAAAACAAATAAATAGTATTGTTCATGAGTCCTGTTAAAAATTTTCATCCCTTCTGCTAATGATATCAGAAATATGTTATATAAAATATAAGATAGTCGACTGACCATCATGGCCATCTTATCTAGAGTTTCTCTATAATTAAATATTTAGTATTTTGTAGACATAAAAGAAAAAAAGAAATTGATAAATAATGTTTTGAACTAATATATAAAAGCTATGTATTAATTTCTTGAATTAATATGTAATTATAATATATACGTCCATGGTACAGAAAAGGTTTAGAATATCTTTGAATGAGTGCTTTCCAGTTATTTTCCAGATTGAGAGAGATATCTATATTTGTATTTATATTTATGTCACACGGACATTACCTAAATGAAACATAGGTCAATCTCTCCTCGCGCAGAATTCTCCACAACTGCATAATACGGATGAAAAAAATCGAGCAAAAGAAAAGTGAAAGGACCTTTCTCGTACGATGAAGAAGTAAAAAAGACTTACAAGTCTATCTATACGAACACGTTCGCAGATTGATCTGGAACAGTAGAAATGATGGAATTACTCTTAGAAGAGGATGGACAAGAAGTAGTCGTTACGGAAAACGACTTCGAGGGATTTTAATCTTTTCAAAAGATAGTTCAACTTCGTCTCGCTATTGTAACATCAACTTGATGTTTGTCTTGAATGGCTGTAGAGTAACCGAAGTGCCTGCAGCCTTTCAATTACACCAACCTAATCACACGCCTCTTTTTCGGTCAATCGTTTCGAAATCTTACACGGGAGCGAGGCTCTTTTTTCCTCTTTTTTCTTCACAATAGGGCAATCGAACTACGCCAGGAAAGATTTACTTTAACTTACTTATTCGATGAAACGATGATAGAGGCTCCGAATATCGTTCCTCGCGTCTATACTTCTTTCGTGTGTTCCTGACTCTGGTACTGATCCTTGAATTGGTTTTCTCTTGCTAACGATAGCTGAGGAATAATAGGGCTAAGCGATGCTTGGTATTCCGCACACTTTTCTTCTCTTTTACGAATTGATTTATTTAGTATAAAATCGGTGATGGAAATTTACAATAAATAATAATATAAGTCTTAATATAATATAAGTCTTAAGTATTGTAACTGCTAATTGTAAAGAACTGTGCTTAGCGACTGACTCCAACAAAATTATCTTAACGGCTAACTGTGATGAATTTATCTAGACGACTGTGGATGATGATGTCCTGACGATGAAGTGTTGACGATTAAGTTTTTTCTACTGCGTCCTCGCCTGCACATACCTCTCCTACACACACATACTTGCAAGAATCATTCTCGCGCATTTTACTATCGTCAATTTCCAAGCGATAAGCCATTTCGTTACACTGTTTCTGCATATATTAGGGTATCCCATAAGTTTGTTTCTTTTTTCTAATATGAAATGAATATACAATGTTTACTGTTTAAGTTATTATTTATTTTGTTATATAAGAACCCTTTTGCTCTATTACCTTTTTCCATCTCTCAGGAAGCCTCATTATGCCTTCTTTCCGAAATTGTTGTGTTTTGGACAAGAAATAATCCCGGTGGTGCACTTTTTCACTGACTGGATTTAAAATGCTTATCGCGAAGAGAATTTTTTGAGGACAGAAAGAAGTAATAATCAGATGGAGCGAAATTATTGAGAGTATGCAGATGCGGTAAAACATCCCAATCAAATTGTAAGAGCTTTTCTCTTACCGCTAATGCAATATGTGGTCTCACGTTGTCATAATGAAAAATAATGCCTCGTCGGTTCATTTATTATGGCTATTTCTTGTTATAGCACCTATCAATTGATTCAGTTGATCGTAGAATTTATTGTTTCACCTTGAGGAAGGAGCTCGTAGAAAATTAAACCTTTCCAATCTCATCAAATGGATAAAAGAACTTTTTTGTGGTGTAATCCCGGCTTTGCGACAGTTGAAGTACTATTGTCCTTACACCAAGTGCGTTTTCTATGGACATTTTCATATAAAATCCAAGTTTTGTCTCCAGCGACAAGCCTCTTTAGAAACGGATCTTCTTCATATCGCTGGAGAATCAAGTCGCATGTAGAGATGCGATTCATAAGACTAGTTTCCGTCAGTAAGTGCGGAACCCAAGTTTCGCAGCGATTAACATATTCTATCTTGGTTAGGTGATTATGTACTGTTGTTTTGAGAATCCCAGTGGCATTCACTATCTCGCGCATACTATATCGCGGATTTTCATCAAGCATGACCTTGATAAAGCCCGTATCCGTCATCTTTGGGCGGCCGTTGCGGTCTTCATCTTTAAAAATTTCCCCCTCTAAATTTTTTAAACCAATTAGAAACGGTTGTAATAGTTATAGCACCATCCCCGTATATGATACAAATCTCGTCGACAGTATTCTTTATACTATCACCTTTATTGAAACAATGAAGCATAAGATGCCGTAAATGTCACCTCTTTCTATGTTTAACGCTGTAGATGAAAGTTTTAATAGAGGCTGTGGTACAAACGAAGCGTACTGTAAAATAGCTTTGGGACGACTCAAACCGATGACATAGACGGCTAATAAGAAACTTTTGGGACACCTAATACTTTCTTGATCAGCTTTATTTCTGCACGCGTGGCTCTTGGGAGCGCTCCGCTGTCAAGGGTGGAAGAGGTATGACACATCTGCATTCCTGCACGTACTTTTTGTCCTCCTTTATCTTCTCGTATTTCTAGGTGTCTTATAGATAGTTCTAAATTACATATCAACTACAAGCTGCCGATGGTTATACTTATGGGAAAGATAGAGGAGAAACAATTGAAAAAATGGTATCGCTCTATATGCACACGTATTCGTGTCTATAAGGGTTTCTCTTCTTTTAGGTGTCTTTTATAGTTTCTGGTTGACTAATGCACGAAGACATGACACTATCAACGTTATATTAATAGTATTATCTACTAATGGGTTGTTCGGAAAGTAATTTCGTTTTTTTTTTGTGAAAATAAAAGACAATTTTAGTATAATGAACAAATATTATTCGGGGAAGGAAATTGAGTTTAGTTGATAAAAATAGAAGAAAACATTACCTCTCAATTCTATTTTGCAAAGCAATCACACGTACTTTATCTACTGTTAGCGTTTAAATGTCCTACATACGTTCATTTCGATCATAAATACTTCTCTATCAAAATCAAAACAGACTTCGGTTTAGACTGTAGCACGCGAATACTTAATTATGCTTTTTCTTATATCTATAGGAATGTTAAACCAAACTTTTTCTTACTATATTATTCATACGTAACCGTTGGGGACAAAAACTGGTTAATAAGCTACCGTTCGATAAAATGCTAATTAGATTGCGTGACGACAGTGACGTAGGTCATGAATACGACAGATCGTATACAAATGAGACGGCGAGTGATGAATTAAACATAAAATCGTTGTAACCTCGGATCCAAAAAAATGTTTATCATCTTTTCCTTTTAAACTTGTGTCGGTTATATCTCTCTCACTCGTACATAATAATCGCTTTCTCGTTGCAGATTGTTATGATTTTGAAAATCATAACTGAAATTACTTATAGTAAATATACCCTATAGTTTTTTTTTCTTTTAAATGTGTGGAAGAAGAAATTAAATGCTATTAAATTTGATAAATTTTTAGTTTTGATCTCTATTGAATATTGTTCCCCAATTTTGTATGTAACATTTGCTCTTCCAGATCTTTTTGTTTTTATTTTTCTCTTTACTCTTGAAATTGCAAAATATTCATGTTCACTCGTAAGCTGTATATATGTAGACTTCGCATTTTCAAGTTGAAGTTATTGATAAAATTCGTACGAGTAGAAAAACAAGCTTATCTAACTTTTTGCGATATAGATGTATACAATAGGTATAGTTGTAGGTATTGTAGAATTAGGAAAATATTCATGTATATATGTATCAGTGTCGAAAAAGTGCTGGGAATGATGTGAGTAAGATAGAGGTGTAGACCTGATATAGATATGGTATAAGATAGACATGTAGATATGAGTGATACGAACGATATATAAGCGAGAGTATATGAGCGATGGAGTTAAGTGACGTGTGATGATTAAGTGACGTTTAGGATTTTGTTGAAACACATAGTTCGTAGATCCGTATCCTAAAAGATATACGATAATGAGAAGAAAACGATAATGGGCGAGCGAAAGAAAGAAACGATAATTAGTATAAAGAATTAGGCATTAGTGCGGAGAGATTAGAATAGTACAGAATAGATCAAAATAGAGAATAGAGTAATATACACTGAAAAGTATAAAAGAAAAGAGCAAAGGAGAACAAAATAGTTAAGTTTTATCGAGTATCGAAGAGAATAGAGAATCTATTTATATCTTTTATTTAAATAAAAGAATTTGTTGTTTTCTTTGTCTGAAGCTCATTATCCTACGGTATGTAAATATTGGTTTTAGAATGAATATTTATTGTTGACAAACTACGACAAGTCATATAAATATCATTTAGATAAGAAACCATTTAGCTTGCAATGCAGAACCCATTTTTATATTTCAAATTAGGGGACTCAAACAAAACCGATGCACTATAAATTCTTATTTCGTCTTTTCTATCTCACTTCTCCCAACATCCAATTAAATAAATATGTTTCATTAAGAAAATGATATTCTATAAGTTCTTGCTAATATATCGTATATCCTGATTTATAGTAATCTTGTGTATATTATAATAAATTAATCTTTGAATATTGATGATTATCAAAAAAAAAAAAAAAATGCTTCGGAATGAATATTTTCCACTGTCAACCGACTATGAAAACGGGCATATGGGAATTTTACCCAAGAAAGAGGTCAATTAATTAAGAATGCACAATGCGTTTTAGGGCAAAAGATATGAATTATAATTCGAAAGGGAAATAAATGACTTACAATCTTTCCTCCTCAACATGATTTATCGTTGTTTAATAATATTACGAAACATGAGAATATGCAAATTATAATCATGATCGATAAATTGCAAATCGACTTAAGTGAGCAATCGGGCATTTCGAATTGTCATTTTGAAAAATACTATGATAGATCGTAAGATAAAAGAAAGCTCATATAATATAAGCGTTGAAGAAAAGCTTATGTAAAAATTCTGAAGAGAAGTTAATCGCATTTTTTTTATACTTTTTACAATGTATACACAATTCGTAACTTATATTATCATAGAGGAATATGACTAAATTTGTATAACATATTTATTATACAATTATGATATCACTGTATGTAAATCTATATATATTTTACTTATTTGCAGAAGTATTTTCCATTTTGCATAATTCAAATTGATGTCCTTTCATCGCAATTATAAATGTTTGAAGCAAACATTCTTCCCTTATGCTCATGTCACATACAGATATTGTTATCGAATGTACTCACTGTAGCACTGAACTATAAAGTTTAGTAGAAGTAGATAGCCTTTTCCCCTCAATCACGGAAGGTTTAAACTGTCAGTGTACGCAATCCATAACCATCAAAAACTATACATTTAGAAATTAATTTTCAACGTTTCGGTTAAATTTTTGGGATTTGAGATCAGTATGGCGAATACATTTCACAAAAAAGTAATGAATATACCAGTAAAAATGATACGGAATTAATAAGTATTTCGGCAACAAATCTCAGTAGTTACGATTTCGAAATACGTATTTGTCGAACGAATTTTGAATTATTGTCTTATTCGTTTTATCTTAATTTTTACTAAGAAAGAGAAAATCCAGTAAAAGTGATACATCTTTTCAAAGAATTTTGGGAATGAAACTCATGGCTAAGCATTTGGCCACAATTTAACATTTAATAAAAATTAAATATAAAAGAATAATTATATATTATATGCAATAGATGGTATAGTATATAAGGAAAAAGTTCTAACCCCAACATCTGTCCGAGATTTCACGAATAAAAACCGTTTAATATCGATTTATTTTCATTCAAGAAATTATTGATTCTTACATAGACGATAGTCTAAATTATGATTATTATTATTCTTCATTCTTTTGCTTATTTTTGCTTCTTTTACGGAGATCCAAACGTTACAAACAGCCAGGAAATCACAGTACATGTGACGATAAATAGGACACAGGTGATAAGAAGTTTCAATGCCTTATGCATCAAATAAAATCTTGAAAATTTCAAAAATCAATATTATTTGAAAGTGATTATCAATAACAGAGGGAAAATGAAGTAAAAATGCAATAAGAGAGATACCTTCGCCATTTTATACGAGCTTGTGGAAGTGTCTCAATAGGATCCTTTAAGATATATTTTCTTACACCTGTGAAGTATGTTTCAAAATAAGTATTCCAAACGAGATCCTTCATATCACAAAAGAATAATTCACGATCTTCGGGCGTCAACTTCCTTAACAATTCGTTCCATCTTTCATTCGTAAATTTTTTTTCGTTTATACAAAAATAATTAAGTAGATCTGACATTTCGTGAATTTTATTATACAATCTGAGTAACCTTGAACAAAAAGGATTATCGCCAGATGAAATTTTTCGCTTCTTTATCGTTCTAATATGCTCCCTTTAGAAAATAAGATAAGAGAAATTTACCTTAGGTTTTTACCCCTGCACAAAGAGATTGTATCGATTATAAGAGCTGGTAGTAAATGTACAAAATATATATAGAAAAAATAAATCAACCGATATTTTGTTATTTTAAAGGTGGGGCACCAAAGTGCCTTTTCAGATGGTATCAATTCTCCATACGAAACTATCATTTCTATAAATCTGCCGTATGTCAATGGATTGTCCTTTGATACGTAATTGTAAATGGGAATATCTTCATTGGATCTAAAAATATTATGTATTCATACAGACGAATTAATTCAATCTTTTCTAATATCATTAATTAATTTGATCCTAATAATATTGTTTCGAGTATTTGTCGTTACTTTCGATTATTTGCAATCCCCCATGCGCTAGCAATTATTCCATTGGTGGTCAAATCTCCAGGTACCAAGTCCACATTTATCGATCCATCGCAATGGAGAATTCGCATTAAACCCATAAAAACATTTTTTACGATTCCTGTTGGTCCGTACACGTTGTCCATCCATCCTTGAATGGGTTCTCGATAAGTGGATATCACTAGAAATATTAAATTGATTATCATACACCATTTATTGTTTTATTCTGTAAGGATTATATTACTACCAACCAATTCCTGGACGAAATATTCCAATCGGTATAGAGTCAGCATTCTTTTTTATAAAATTCTCTGCGGCTGTTTTCGTATAAACATAAGTATTTGGCCATATTCCGAGTAATCTGCAATCAAACAAGTGTAATTAAGTGCACTATCTATTCATTTTATATTTTTTATAAATAAATATGAAACTAAGCAATCGATATTCCGAGGTATAAACGTACTGTGGGGTGATATTGTCGAGCAATTTTTCATTTAAACAGTTCACTAAATTTATTAACTTATCGGGATCTATCGGTGGGTCATAAAATTTCTCCTCAAGTGGAATATGAAAACAATTGGTGTAAGCCGTAGATATATGCACAACACTCTGAAATTTTAAGGATAACAAAGATTTGTTAAAGTCAGATTTTGAAAGACCCTGATTGATATTAATACGTAGGACAGAGGACAAAGGTGGCACCTTCAGTTTTGACATTTCTTTCGACAAATTTATTATATCCTTTACACTTCGAACGTTGATTTCTGTCGCCAATTTTATTTTCTCGTTGAACTTAACGGTTGCGGCGACATGAAAAATAATTGAGACCTCGCGTATTAATGTAGCTCTATCGACCATTGAGATATCGAGATTCGGCAAGGTACAATCGCCCTTGATTGGTACTATACGATTCTGGAATGTCGGTTGTTTCTCTCTCAAAGTGGAAAATAACTGGAAAATTGATAGAGTTATAAATATTTTCTCTCTCACGTTCGTTATTATAAATGACAAAAAAACAACTTTTTGCGATTTTTTCCACTGGTTATGATAGATCAGTACTTTGTCTCTCAATTTTCTTTACTTTATATACCAATTATATTATTTAATAGAAAGAGATAATTTTAAAGTTGGGTCAAAGGTGAAATAATAATTTACTAATCCCTGTAATAGATGTAATAACTCACAGAATTTTCAGTTAGTTCTTTCATGCGTTCATGCACACTTTTTCCTTTTTTTGTACGTATCAAAAGATAAATGCAAGTGATACCGGGACAATCTCTTAACAATTTCTCGATTAATAACTTTCCTATGAATCCTGTTCCACCAGTTATAAAAATACTTTGACCACTGTAAAATTTTTGAATGGGTGTAAGTTCGTCATTATCCTCGATGGGTTGAATATATACAGGAGCATATTTAGTTTCCGTAGCATCTCTCAAAGAACTTTCTGGTAGGGCTTTTTCTTGTTCACCTCTTTCTGGCAGTACGTCTATCATATTTGCTTTTCTAAATTGATCTGAAAACATAAACATAAACGTAAATGTAGAAATCTTTTCTGTTTCTCTATCGTATTTATTTATATTAATCGTTTAAACGATAATGCAAGTAAGTTCAAGTGTCCGTTGAAAATATTATAATCGAACGTTTGATTATCATTAAAAGGCATTCATGGCATCTATTACTCGTCCTAATAGATATTTATAATTTAAAATTGACAATTTCGTTATAATAGAAAATGATCGATAATTGGTGTCCTGAATTGGAAAGGGATAAATAACAAAGAAGTAAGAAAGAAACATGTACGTATGTAATAATATTAATAAACATGTAATAATAATTGTTTCATGATATTGGTTTTTGTCTACTATAAGAATGAAATGACCTCGTATAAAAAAGTATGAAAAACTTTTCAATTGCAAATGTATCGTTCAACCTATCTCAGAATAATGTGTAATTAGTGAACATCATAAAACAAGTTATACAAGAAAAATCAGTTTGAGTCTTCGACTGCGATCATTTTTCTGTACTAGTCTACCTATAATTTTTCGGATACTACGCAAACAGAACAACCTGTGATATTCCTCTTTAATAAAATAATACGAAATTCTTTCAGCCTGAAAAATTGTTTAATCTTCCTTCGTTCAGACAGGAAAAAAATATTTATTGTGATTCCTGGAGAAACCTTTTCAATATTTGATAAAAGATAAGTGCAATAAAAGTTAAATATTGGTCTATGTAAAACTAAAGGGGACCATATAAAAACCGACAAAAAAGAGTGTCAGGAAATTTACTGTAGATAATTACATTACATATTTCGTCTCAACAATGTTTATGTCAAAAAAAAATATTTTTGATCGGTCCACTAACAAAAGAATAATCAAAGCTGATCACATTCCGAGTTTACACTTCTGAATATTTCGAAAATTAAAACAAAATTTTTCGCGTTCTATTTATCGTATTAATTATGGTAGTTGCAACTAATTTTTCTAGATTTTGTTGAATTGTAATATTAACCGAATACCTTAATTTCTTATTTTTCCGTAATTTCATGTAACTCACAAACCTTTTTATGCTTCTTAAAATTTTTACGTAATTATTTATTTGAATTTTCGTAAAAAATGTTACTTAATTTTTATAACACACCTTATGATTCTGATTCTTTTTAGGTCTATAAAATTTACTTACTCTCAGAATTATTTTCCATATCGCAGAATTAAAATAAACGGTCTTACAGTAAAATTATCAACATTCAGAGTAGAGATTTCTTTCTATTTCTTAGGACAGTTGTAGATGTTGATTGAACGAAGCTCACTTTTGTACTGAAATATTGAAACAAAACAAAAGCATTTAACCTTTTTCTCCCACCACGTTTCAATGATCAATTCTTGATTGTCTTCGAAACTCTTGCTTTTTTTCCTTATATTCTAACATAATTCGTATCCTGGAAAGCACGTGTGGTTCAAAAAAGCTATTAACACACACAGATTATAGTTTGTTTTAATGCTTGATGTATCCAATAAAGCATTAAATATTTAGAAAGTGGGCATTATTTTAAATTTTAATGACAAACGAACAATGAAAGGAAAAGGCAAGAAAGAAGATATTTTTGTTATTTTATATATACTTGTAGAAGCGTTTCAATGGCATATTTAAGATATGTATATTCTTATCGTTAGGAGATATGATCAATAGTATGTAGTTAAACATTACGAACGATGCTTAAACGAAAATTAATATTATCAGTCTTTTTGGAAATGGATGAAACATTCATGCGAAGAAGAAATGAAGGGGCGATTTAATGTGTATTTAATTTGTATTTAATATGTAAGATAGAATAACAGAAAAAATTTCTACATTCTAATTTACATGTCGCTTTCTAGATAAGTTTGAAAATGATGTAATAAATAATGTAAATGTTGGTAAAAACAGTTAGATAACGATTTTCATAATCAAAAGAGATGACAAGTAGTTTCTTTTAAAATGGATCTTTTAAAAGATAAATGTATCATTTAAAGTGATATCCTTTTAACAATTCCTTGGTCGATAATTACCTTGTTGACTTTATTCCCCTATTTACAAATATTTATTTACGTGTTTATTTTTATACTCAAAAGGCCGAAAGATCATTATCTAATTAAATGTTTAGAACGCTGTTAAGTAAAATTTTCGTTACTACAAAATCTCTTATCATTGCGAATAATCTGATATCATCACATATGAATATGTCAGTGTTTTTTCCGAAATGCAAATGTGCAAAAATAATCCGTAATACGAAGTGAAAAATGAATGGAACTTTCCTGTCAGCTTTCTTTTTATTTTCAAATTTTATATTTCTACCAATACATAAATATTTTTTCTTAAGAAAATGACACTTTGTAATATCTTGATAATACATTTTTTATATTTCTGTATAAATCATTATGAAAGGACAAATAACAAAGAATTTTTAATGATAGAAAATAGTAAGACATTATGGGAACTAAGAAAATACTACATTATATATTTAGTTGAGTCAAAAATTTTGTTAATGTCGTTTATATCCATGTCCATAGACACTAACAATGCGCTTGCAGTGAATAACTGAATAATTGTCAACCTTAAATATTAGTTGCACGCTCCATCCTTACTTTGAGCAATATAAGAATATTTTCGGAAAAGTAATTTTTTTATTTTTTACACGTGATCCCAAAATATCAAATGTAACTTTACAGATGGTATTTGTATTGTATTTAATGTTAGTTGCACTATTAAATAATATAAGTAAATATAAAATATGGGAAAAATACAATGTAACGTAAATGAAGAGTCATTCCTATTGTACTTGCCATTATTCGTTTATTTCTGCTAAATTATAGAAACAGAGTACGAGTAACAACGTATACGTCTTTTCAAGTGTCTCTTCAAGCTAATAACATACAACGATACGTTTTCGAAGTAATTTTCTTTCTAAAAATTGAATCCTAACACATTGCAAAATCAAAATATTTTCCACTGAGTACTTTAACGGAATCGAACTATTTTCAGAAATGATTAAATTACAACTGAAATAATAAGAGAAAGAAAAGATAGTGAGTGAATCGAATAATAATATAATCAATCAGAATAAAGAAAATTGGATGCAAGCTGTTAACAGTTCTGACATTTTCGATATGTATACGCAAAAACTATACAAACATTATTTGCATCTTATTTATCACGCATGGATTTAAATGTGTTTGAAACAATTAATTTTTAACGATATTACTAAATTATAGTATCAATCGAAGCCTGTACTTAACTTATTTTAGCCCAACTCTATGTAATTCATAAAATTTAACTTTTCATAAAATAATGTTACTAAATTTTCATAATCCAACGAACGTATAATTACGATTTTCTAAATGCATACGTATATAAATTTTACCTACTTTCAGAATTATTTTCTATATGGCAGAATTGATGCACTTTTAAGAAAATTATGAAGATTTAAAACAAGTGTTCCTTCCTTCTTCTTACTTCAGATGCAAGTGTTGTTGGAACGAAGTTTATCTTCATAGCACCAAACTATTATATAAGTGAAAGTAGTATCCTTGTACTTTCAACTGTATAACTCACCATCTTTCTTTAATGTTGCTTTTTTTATGCATAATCGAAGGTCTGACGAAAGTAGTTCATGAATCATAACAAGGTAATAACTGACTTCAATTCTTAATGCATCCAACGAAGGCATAAAAATTCGAAAAACGAGTGTCATTAGAAAGTGATTGTCAACGATAGAGGAATGGAGAAAGGAGCAAAACAACAAAGTTATATTTATTATTTTATATAAGATTGTAGAAGCGTTTAAATGTGATCGTTTAAGATATATACTCTTATGCTTAGGGGATACGAAAAATAAAGATTACAAACGAGATCATATCAGATAAAAACAATTCCCGACCATTGCTTGTTAACCTTCTGAAATGATTGATATTTCTTCCACCATAATTATTTATCATGCTATACTTTCTTTTTCATTCATTGCGAAGTGACAAAAATGCTTTTCAATTACCGTTTAACCGGATTTTAAATTATTTGTAAAATAAATCGACACGATCCCTCTTAGTGAGACGAGTGAAAGAGATTAGTGTACTTGAATCGTTTCGTTTGTCAAAATCTATTTGTAATAGATACAGAAACATTTCATTTTATACTTATTTATAAAGGAACAATATTGATATGTAACAATTTATTTTATTTAATTAAAAAATGAGTAAGTATATTTAACTCTAGCTGATATCCTAACCACATGTTTTTTATTATTTTATTTATTTTTCGATGTATAGCATAAAAATCTTTGGTAAGAATGAAAATGGCGATTATTTATAAACAACACTGTATTAAAGAATAATTGTCCTTTCAAAAATGTGGACAGTTTAGTCGAGAAAAATAAATATGCAAATTTTTCCGGTTTTATGCGCACCTGGAATCACCTATAGTAAATTTCTTCCGTATTTTTATATTAATTGTCGTGTACGTGTCATAAAAAATCTTGAATACTAATAAATTCGTCAAGGTTTTAGCCTTGATCGAATGTAGAATATTATTACCGAATTTAATAATATTCTCTCTTCCGCATTTGCTTGCTTTTATTTTTTTCTTTGATCTTTATATTAAAAATATAAATATTCATTAGTAAAAATATAAATATTTTGTATCAAAGTATTACATTAATATTTAAAAAATTTTTTTATTACCAAATTATAATTGTAATAATTGTGATTTATAAATTTAATTGTGGTTTAAATTGTAATATATTAATTTAAATTCTTCATATTTATTTAAATTTTGATTATACAAAAATATTTAATATTTCAAAAATTATGAAAAATTTGTTACTATTTTAATTACCACGAACCATTTAAATTATCGGTTTAGCATTATCTCATTACAATTAGAGTGCAATCTTTTGCATCTAGTTTCTTTTATTTTGTTAAATTATGATAATAACTAATTAACTGAAAAATTATTTTGCATAACTGCATGTAACTTAAAAAGTTTTTTTATACTTTTTCCAATGTAAACTTGGAATTTGTTGAATTATCATAGAGGAATATGACTAAATCTTTATAACATATTTTATAATTATAAATTTTTAATGCAAATTTACATAAACTTAACTTAGTTTTAGAAGTATTTTCCGTTATGTACAATTAAAATTGACGAACATTCATCAAAGTTATAAACGTTTTTGTCTTGTGCTCATGCAATTTTTAGATGTTACACGAAAGAAGGGCATTCTTGCACTGAATTATAAAGTCTAGTAGAAATTGGTAGCCCTTTCCCTCTACCTTTCAAAACTTTAATTATCATTGTACAAAACAAATAACGAACGAAAACTCTACATTTTAAAATTAAATTTCGACGTATTGGTTAAATGTTTGGAATTTGTCTAAAATCGATAAGAATGTTAAAAATCAAAGTACTCGAAGAAAAATAAAGTGAAGTGATGAAAATTTTCTATTCCATCATTTCGCTATAAATTCATATTTTGTCGCTTCTGTCCCACGTCCACCACTACTCTATTAAATAAACATGTTACGTTAAGGAAATCAAATTTTACAAATTCTTATTTATGTGAACCTGACGCATTTATTTTATCTACGTTAATCTTGTGCATGTTATGACTAATGAACTTTCGCTGATGAAATTTTGCTCAAAAAAAAAAAAGGAACGACATTATGCATTATTTAGTCTTTGTTATATCTTGCATGCTTTTTTTTGTTCTATTTTTTACTTATCGTCGTTAAATTCAATCACAAGGCATGGTATAGTATGAATAATAATCAGGTTCGATAAATTTCAAATCGACTCAAATATATAGGCAGATATTACCAATAAATATTTAGAAAAGAACAATGACGGATGATCGGCAGAAATTAAAGATTATGTAATATATCTAATTTAGAATGACTTATTTCTTATATAGGTTGACTTTACACAGAAAACAAAGTAGTAAAATTACATAAATATATATATAGTAAATTATAAAGGTATATTTACATACATCGCATATTACTTATTATTCAACAGTCATAAATGTCATTTAGTAATATTAAGCCTAACGGTATAGATAATTTGTAATGAAAAACTGTAATTTATTCCTGCCTCCTTATCATATCGTTTCATCAAGATCTATCAAATACGATAAATAATTGGTTCGTATATAGAGGAAACCGTCAATTATTATTTAATTATTTTATTTCCCTTTGCTTTCTTTCACAATTATACTTCTGTTACGATGATCCGAACGTTACAAATAGTTTCGAAACAATAGTCCATCAGATGATAGAAGGACA